ACAAATTGGGCATGGCTCTGCCCAATACAGAACAAGATGACAGCTGTTTGAAACTGAATTATCCCGCGAGTAACCCATTCTGGGTCATGTTCAAATGCCATGCCTACTCCATCCCAGGGACAAGGAGCGTAGTTTTCAGAGCGAAGGCAGCCGGCTATTTGGGAAACGTTGCTAATATTGCTCAGAAAACAAGGTCTATGTTGGAGAGCATAGGTAGCAGGATTTGAAGATGTTTCCCGTAATCACGCCTAGTGAAAGAAAAACAAAAAACTCGAGAATTTCGAACAAGGACCTTTCCTCAACTCTCTCCCAGTTTCACTGTACGAGTTTTCTAGACATTCTTGCAAATCGGCACCCCGCAGCTTCTGCAGAACCCCTGACTTATAGGACGAATAGTGAGCTATCAAAGGCCAAACGCCGGCGCTACCCGTTACCGTGACGAGAACATTGAATCCACTTACGACGCTGCCGGCAACAATCGCGGTAGCTAACAGTGTAAGTTGTTTTCCTGTAGGCCATATACGCAGGATGGATACAGATTAGGGTTTCTAGCGCTTTCATCTCGCTTTTTCGCGAAACTGATACACATCTGTGAGTGCGGAACTGGCTACCAAATGCGCGGAAGCACCCCCATTTCGCTTTATCGCGGAAACTGCCTTCAACAAACTACATTCATAGCCGCAACCCCGCTCACAGTAAGCACAAGTTTGTAGGCACTCCTTCCTCAGGTGCTTTTGTTTGCACTTTACATGGAACATGATCACTCATCACTGCAGATCGCCTTCCACCAAATGTTCACTTGTTTCGATGGCTGCCACAGGCCGATCTGTTGAGACACCCCAAAGCGCTAGCGCTCATTTCTCATGGTGGTTATAATAGCTTACAGGTGAGAGATTTATCACAAAGGTTGTTAGGAATCTTGAAAAATTACAGTCCTAGGAAGTAATCGTCGCCGGTGTTCCCCTGATAACTGTTGCCTTGTGGGGAGATCAACCGAGGAATGCGAAACTTGGGGCAAAACTCGGAATTGCCATCAATCTTCAGAAAAGTGACATCAGCGCGGATATTTGCTGAAGCTTTGAACAGAGTTATTAAGGACAAAAGGTGAGTAGTTTGAATGACGTTCTCTACACAGGATGTATAGAGTTAGCATCAACCAAAGACCAATATCAACGTTTCAGCTTTTCACAAAACGCCAAAAGATTGTCGCTGATGGTGAAGAAGCAGCCTGTGACTCCAGCTCATCGTGTGGTTGCCTGGGCGGAATTCGTTGCGGAATTCAAGACCTTGGAGAATCTCGTTCCTGCCGGCACGAAGCTCAACTTTATTCAGTACCACTCACTGGATGTGATAGCATTCTTGTCAGCAGTTGTGATTTTAGTGCTCTTCATTTTGTGGAAGTTATTGAGATTTGTCGCGTTGAAAGTGTACTTTTTAGCGACTAAGGTTAGAAAGCAAAAGCAAAATTAGCCATCATCCTTGCCAGACAAAGCAATAAAGAGCTTTTTGACATGGACCTGTTTATGGCGAACATCCCGCGAGTTCATTCAATTATGAGGTAGTAGTATACGAGGATTAGAGAAGTGGTTGATAGGCAAAGTGATTTGCGTGTTTCCATCAATATTCCACACTTTCTGGCTTTATACTCCATTGCAGAAGCAAACTCTTTGGAGGGCGCCCCCCCCTCCCATGATATGTCCTGTCATGGGTGGGCGCCCTCTCCTGCAGTGCACTAGTCAACTTGGCGTCGATGCGAGTGCTGAACCTCAAGAGAGGTCGGGTAGACGGCACAGGGACATCACTATCCTTCAGCTCTGCACCCGTGCTTTTTTGAGCAAGAAAATAGCATGCTACTGCAGCTGCAGACCCATTCAACTCCCACATGGAAAGGACTGCCCTCGAGATGAGTGTAGATTTTTGCATTAATTTCTAGGCTGTGCATGACGCGAGGTAAGTCATCCAAAGCAAAAAGAAATGTTGCATTCAGTTGTCTCTTCTACGCAAAAGAAATATTGCCCTCAGTTGTCTCTTCTACTTAGACTTTTAAGGCAGCGTTCCAGACGATTTCGCGACGGCATCGCTTCGAGTCGACGCATTTCGCTGAACTATAGTGCGTACAACAATGCTCCCACCATTTGATGATACTGATAAGAGTTCACGCTTGGTAAAAGCTCAAGTTCAACAATGACTGGAGTGTGACTCATTTCGAAATGGTTGCTGTTAACGGTGAGTTGTATCTGCTTTGAACCTGTTCTGGAGGTACTAATCCAAATAGTTCAAAACCTTTCTACTTCACTAGTTCCAGTGTACCGATGGGCAATGATATTGGTGACGTTCCCGCAGAGCTCCCGATGTTTGCGATGCCTTATTGGGTCTGGGCCCGACAATAAATCAGAACCTGTATCCGTAAGTTGTCATGAAGTGTTGGCAAAAGGGTTACTCCTGCTAAATTTTGCAGGATGAGTTCGACAGTCCTTTCAAATACAGTTAGACAGTCCCTTCGAAGTACAGTTTCTTGCTTTCACGATTGCCTTCCCTTCAACGAGGGGAGAAACTGAAGTTGTTGTCACCGCCGAATTCGACGGAGCGGTGTTCGTACTTTGCGGCAGCGTCCACCAGCGACCATCAGCGTTTCGAGTCCGTCAACAGAAGTGACCAGGAAAGTATAGATATCGATCTAGCGAATGGCAGCTCTACAAGCGTCCACCAGCGTCCGAAAGCGTCCATCAGCGTCTGCAGAGACTAGGAAGGTATGGATCATCGATCTAGCGTCTACCAGCGTCCACAAACGCCCACGAGTAGAGATAATGGGGAGTTAGGGGGGGGGGGTGGCAGACTGCTGCTGGAGTACGCGGAAGTAGGAGGGAGAAGACAGCTGGATTGGACGTATTGTGGCGTGTGCAACCGCAATGTATCACCACGCAATGCCGTACAACGGTCGCTAGTGGACGCTGGTAGACGCTGCCGTTCGCCCGATCAAATTCTGTACTTCCCTTGGCGCTGTTGCTCACGGACGCTCGAAGGGCTTATGCTCGCTGGTGGACGCTACGGCAAACTATGAATGCAACCACACCACTCCGTTGGATTGCGATATTATCACTGTGGATATGATAATCTGCCTCTAGAATCGACCTGGTTCCTAGGTAGCGCGCGTAATGAAAGCCAGTATGAGCCATCTCGCATTTCCTGCGCAAAAACCGTGCTAGGGAAGTGCTCGTAAATGCTTAGCAAGAGAGTAGGACAGTCGCAGAATTTGGAGAACTGAAGGGACGGAGAATCACCAAAAGGAAAGCTTACCTATCGTTCTAAAAAAGTGTGTAACTGGTGGGAAAGGTTGGACACGTCAGTTACATCCCCGAACCTCCACAGAGAAGCGTAGCATAACTCATTACTAGACTCAAATATTGCGATATTCACCTCTGCGAGGGCAATAATCCAATCACAGCGACCTTGCAACCGCAAACCATGAACGCTCAGCTTGCAATGGTAAGCTTGGCACGGCTTATCACTGCCTTCATTCCTCACATGCATTTCATGATATTCCGGTTGTTCACTACTGGCAGCAATTCACAGAGGTGAAGATACTGCGGTAGCGATCTTCACGACATTATCAACAGATGTCCTTAGCAGAAGCAAGGACATACTAACGACACTTTCACTAAGCGACTGATATTGAGATTCATGTAGAGCTGCTGGAATCAAGTGAAAGCAGTCACAAAAAGTTGTAAGAAGCCTGGAACTCTGAAACAGGCATTACCCACAAAAAACCTTGCACTCTTCAAAAGAAGAATGTACCCGTAAGAACTTGCTTTGTGGGCATGTTGGTGTTAGTAAGAGTATGGGAGAGCAGGTAAAGCCTCGCTGGGATGTTTTCCGTTGGAGGATGCCATGTAGAGATTCCTTAGAGCCACGGTTTCCTTTGGTGTAAAGGCAGTTGGCACGATAAATCCCCCAAGACGACTAGGATCAATACGCCTGGCAGGACGGAATTCCGCGACCCTGAGCAGGCGCTGCATAGCGGCTTCTCCAAGGAAGGTGCCCTTATAAGGGCCCTATCAAGCCACAACATTACGACCGAACGCCCGCCAC